GTGCCATTTACATAAAATCGGACGAAACTATATATGGGAGCTATATCTAAATCTGGACCGATTTTCACGAAACTTGACACACATCATTCTAGACTCAATTAAGTGAGCTGTGCCAAATTTAGTGCAAATCGAAAGATATATAGGGACTTTTGTGCGCAATTTGCATAAAATCGGACGAAACTCTATATTGGAGCTATATCTAAATCTAGACCGATTTTCAAGAAACTTGGCACACATCATTCTAGACTCAATTATGTGAGCTGTGTTAAATTTCGTGCAAATCGAAGGATATATAGGGAATTTGGAGCACCATTTACATAAAATCGGACGAAAATATATATAGGAGCTATATATAAATCTGGACCGATTTTCACGAAACTTGGCAGACATCTTTTTAGGTTCAATTCAGTATCTTATGCCAAATTTCGTGCAAATCGAAGATATATAGGGACTTTGGTGAGTCATTTACATAAAATCGGACGAAACTATATATGGGAGCTATATCTAAATCTGGACCGATTTTAATGAAACTTGACACACATCACTCTAGACTCAATTATGTGAGCTTTGCCAAATTTCGTTAAAATCGAAAGCTATTTAGGGACTTTGGTGTATAAATTTGCATACAAATCTAAATCGGCATAACTAGAATATCTAAGATCTTATTAAAACTAGGATCAGAAGGTTAGTTTGAAAAGATAGGTGGTTTACTAAACCATATGTCCGACAGTTGGACATACACTTAATTCAGTCAAGGCTAGAAAGAAAATTAGAAAAAAAGTTTTGTTGCGATTGATACCCCTATACTTCTAGGTATAGGGATATCAACATACATTTGTTTCGAAGGATTGGAAAAGCTTTTCATATTATGTAAATGGTCCGCCAAAGTCCTAATATTTATCCGACTGAGATAAAATTTTGCACAGGGTACTGAATCAACTCCAGATTAATGTACGCTCCCGTATAGTTTCGTTCGATGTAAATTGAGAATACTATGTTCATTCGCTCTAAATGGTGGATGCCACAGTTGCTCAAATACGTCCAAATTTACATATAGCTCCCATACATAATATTGCTCGATTTCATACAAATGAGTGACATTAAATCTTTCATGGATTTCGGAATGGAATGTGTACGGGTTGTTTTAATTTAGTTTAAAATGTCTCTGTAGTTCACACAGTTATTTTCGTCCGGTACATTTTCCATTGTATGTACGCCAAATGCTAAAACGTATCATATAGTCGGTACCGTCCGACTTTTGAGCTTTTCTTAATTTTGGTTTAGCTGCATTCTACTCATAAATTAGCTGTAATTTGGCATTCCGTGTTTTTGTCGGGCAAAACACATTTATGCAGAACATTTTCTATGGACCTATGTTTGGGCATAGCTTCCGTACCATTTGCGTACTTTTAATGTTTATAATAATTTTTTTTACCGAATTGGGTGCAAATTGGAAAAATATGTTTGTTGAAATTTTTCGATATCAATAATTTGACATTACCGCAATAAAAAGAGGGACGTAAACATGTTTCGGTACTCTGAATAATTTTTGACTTGTTGACTATTACTTCGGGTGACGCAGCGGATGTTAGATACCAAGCAACGGCTTTGATTGGCCTTAACGTGGCAAAACCCAAGCATATCTTGGGCCCTTTTTCACTTCAATTGTGGACACCGACCTCCCGTGGTGTCACCTGGGGTAGCTTTGTGCCGCGAGTTCATCATTAATAACTTAAAAAAAAATAGGTTGAAGCGTCGGGTTAGGAGTTAGTTAGTAGAAAACCAAAACCCCCCAATGTTGACGTGGGTCGTCAAACGTATAAAGGACCACGATCTGCGAATCTGCACTTAGAACGTTGTATAGAACAGGCGCAATTTTCGCTTTGGCGTATGTACTCAACAAGTACAATGTCGATATTACTGCCTTGTATGAAATGCGATGAAAAGGGACTGGCGCAAGTAAATCAGATGATTACGCCCCGTATTATAACAGCCATGAAACAATAAATGAATTTGGTTGCGGATTTATGGTTAATAGGAGAATAAAAGACCACGTCTCCGGATTCACTCCAGTATATGAGCGAATTGTTATACAAGCATGGTTCTTCCACATCATGATTTGACAGAAGACAAATATGAGCAAACCAAAGACATATTTTACAAGCGCCTGCTAGGAGATTTTAATGCTATAATCGGAAGGAAAAAATATTTTTGGTCCTACCGTCGGAAAATTCAGCCTCCAAAAGAAACATCCGACAACGATATGAGGTTGATCGACTTCGCGGCAGAAAAAACATGGTAGTTAGCAGCACCAGATTCAAGCATCTCGATATACACAAGGCCACTTGGATTTCTCTCGATCGAACAACGAGAAATCAAATCGGTCATGTTGTGATAGACGAAAGGGATTCATCCAGTTTTAGACGTCCGATCGATCCGGGAGCGAACATCGATTCGGACCATTACCTTGTGGCAGCCAAGGTACGCACCCGTCTTAATGTAGCAGCAAAGGTGCGAACTAATGTCACACGGAAATTTGACGTCGAAGAGCTGCAAAAACAACAGATAGCAGAAGCCTACTCCGCTCAACTTACACACTTTCTTGACGAAAGCACTCTTTGTGCCGATAATAATATAGAAGCGCAATGGCATTGAATTGCCCACTCCCTACAATCTGCAGCAAAAGCAACGCTTGGGTACCAAAAACCACCGTTGTGGAATCCATGGCAAGATCAGGAGTGTCGTAATGCTACTGAAGTGAAAAACGCAGGGTATAGGGCAACACAGCAGACAGTAGCAACACATAATGCGATGGAGAATTATCGGGAGAAAAGGAGAGAGGAGAAACGTACTTTCAGAAAAAAGAAAAACGTGAGCCTGAGCAAATCGAGATGTACAGACAGAAAGGAGTCCGGAAATTTTACAAACAAGTATAAAACTAAACCGAATGTTTCGTTGTAGTCAACTGTAGAGTTGAAGATGGAAACCTGGTGACAGATACATAGAGCGTGCTGAGGATCTGGAAGGTGCAGTATACCACCTAGCCAAAATGAGGTCAGAGTGACAATTAATCGGCTGAAGAAGAATAAAATATTCAAGACTGGTGGTCAGATGCTGGTCAGGAGCACGCAACGGCAATGATTGGATCTTCAGCATTCTGTGTCTTCTTCACAAAGAATGAAACAATACGATATGTGCCAACTATAGAGGAATAAGCATATAAAGTGCTACCCAGCTTTCTGGGTGAACGACTGACGCTAATGGTCAATGACATTATTGGACTTTACCAATGCGGGTTCAGGCCTGGCGAATCCACCATTGGCCTTTTCACTCTGCCGAGATCCTGGAAAAGAACCTGAAAAATACATCGACACATTCCACCATTTCATCGACTATAAAACCGCATTCGACAGCCTTATCCGTTCAGAGGTGTTTAAAGTCGTGTCTGCATTACTGCAAAATTAATACGGCTATGCAGGATAACTTTAACTGGTCAGCAGTTAAAGTAAGGAAGGACCTATCGGAGCCCTTCAATACCGAACGAGGATTCCGGTAAGGTGGCAGTCTGTCGTGTGATGTTTTCAACATCCTGCTGGAAAAAAAATCATACGAGACGCAAAGGTGAACATAAATGTTACTCTGTACGCCAAACCCACGTCTATGCCGATGACATCGATATAATGTATACCTCGGTAAAGCCACAAACCTCGGTAAAGCCACAAACGAAATTAATAACATCAGCTATGAAATCCGGAGGGTAATACTGTTGGGTAAAAGATGCTACTTTGGACTGAGTACGCTACTCAAAAGCAAGGCCGCCTCTCGCCTGACCAAACTCACACTCTACAAGACGCCTATTCTACATATGCTGTTCTATTGATCTGAAGCATGGGTACTTATGCAAGCTGATGAGGGTGCTCTTGGAGTGTTTGAGAGAAAAATTCTCCGGAAGATCTATGGGCCGATCTGCATCGACGGTGAATATCGCCGTTGAATGAACCATACCATACCGATGGTTAGACCATATTGCAAGAATGGATGAAGATGCTGTCATAAGTCATTTACTTAAGTAAAAGACTATTGTTTTCATATGCCTCAGACGGAAGAACTAAACAAGTAATACTTAGTAGTTCAGGTGTGTGAGGAACTCTATGTGCGGTTTCAGTTCTCGGCTTAATTTTAGGCATAATTTGTAAATCCTGAGCCACCGGTATTCATACGATGAACCTAATGACCGTATCGTAACATATGCTTGCTAGTTAGGTCTGATTTTGATTAGTTATTATGCTGGAGTGTAATGAACGGTTGGTAGTGTATAGAAACATCCCTTCAACTAGCGCAAGATTTAATGTCGTGGTATTCTCTTCGAAGAATGAGCAGACACTCGTGACAAATCAAATTTCAGACTATTTAAGTTGGGATATTTATATTATCAAACCTAGTATCACCATGGAGATGTTGAAATCTGATATTTTCTTTGTGGGTGTCTGATTATACAAAGTGTCATTTCAATATGCCAGTGCCCTGACATTTATTTAAAACGGAATGTTATCATTTGAAATTAGGATTAAAATTCCCAAGTTTCCCTTCATTCCAAATGAAAATACTGTGCGGATATCGTGATAGCACTCTTTATCGGTTGTATAAATCCATTAACTACTACTATTTGAAAAAAAATATTCAATTTAAACAATTGTACTATGCCATAAGTACCACCAGACCATATCATTAAATGTGAACATATTTTTACTTAGTCTACATTAAAAAAAAAGTTTGATAAAACACACACCATCGTTATCGTAATAACATTTTTACCATCTACCTCTTTAATTTGCAGTATAAAACAATCTTCGAAGACCATTTAACAAAACCCCCCTTTGTACCCCTTTTGTAGTTCGTCCATCAAAACTTCTGCCGACAACAATAGACATTGGTATGTAAATTGAGAAAAAAGAAGAAAAAAAAAAAATAGTTTTAAACATTTAACAATCACTTACTGTTTTTCCCTGTAAGTCATTAACTCGACAGTGCAGGTATACTCTGGCGCCCAATTGGGTGCTCACATTGACGGTGGTATATGGATCGGCAAAGAATGGAAATGGTTCATGCGTTGTTGTCTCTGTTACTTCGAGTTCCTCATCCTCTGGTGTGTCGGTAAAGGGCGATGAGAATTCTTGCCAGAAATTTTTCGGAAATGTATCAAATGGATCTCCGGCCCGGGGACGTTTTACTGGAACAACAAGAAACAGACAAATGGAACAGAAACAAAAATTATAATGAATGCCTACCAATTAACAAGAGCAAACAAATGTGTAACTGTTTACATTTTACAATACGTGATTGGTGTGTGTGTGTGTGCATGTCAGTGTGTATAATGCCATACTTACATGGTGTTGAAGACGAAGCAAAATGTTGTATTGCTGAATAAACAATTGCAAATATCCAAATGTTTTTCGATTCCATATCTGCAAAGACAAGAACAAAGGATAATGAAATGTTTTGTTCCACGTGTACAATTACAATTGTAATAACGTAAAGGTTGTATTGTAGAATTCTAATAATTGTGTAGGGAATTTTTAGGGTTTTACCAAGGTGACGGTGTATGCAGAAGCATGATGTTTGGTATTGTAAATGCTTCCATGTAGTTCCCATGTAAACGAAATTTAAAAAAAAATGTGGTTTTAAGAAGTAAGGAAGAGAACAAAGGCAGCCGCCGTCGACTGTATTACTCCTTATACCACTTTGGGTAAATGCTCGCGCCAAAAATAGTGATTTTAGTGGAACATTTAAATGAAATCGTATGAAATAATACTATTCTAGACTAAATGCAGTATGCTACATAATTTTGTGCCAATCGGACAGATTGGCAGGTAGGTTGTTTATGTGGGAAAATTAAAAACCAAATTACAGGCAATTAGGCAACATAAATGTACCGAAAATTAAAGTAGATCTTTGCATGGGGCGATGTAAATATCATAAACATACATTGAAAACTCTATGGACAGATGTTTTTTATTCACCAGGAACCCAGAAAAAGGAATATTAATATTACCGGGAAGAGGTCAGGACCTTCTTTATGTGGGAGTTACGTAAATAGATGGACATCGACAATTTGTAACAAAAGTTTTTTTTTTTTTAAATTACAGTTACTTCGGTGGGAAAATACTTTTTGAACCTTAAAATTGCGAATGAGGGTTATGTCCAAATATAGACCAAACATATTTATACCCTTCACCACACTGTGGTACAGGGTATTATGTCTTTGTGCATATGTTTGTAACAGGCAAAAATAATCGAGATAGACCCATGGTTCCTTTTGGGAATATGCATAGAATCATTTTCTGAGTCGATTTATGCATGTCCGTCCGTCCGCCTGTTGATGTTAAATTGTAAACAAAGTACAGGTCGCATTTATAATCCAATTTGGATGAAATTTGGCACAGATCAGTTAATTGGCTCAAGGAGAAACCCTATTGATCGGTCCACGTTTAGGCATAGCTCCCATATAAGGGTACCCCCCAAATTTTCGGTATTTTGAGGTTATTTAGCGCGTTTTTAAACTGAATTCGCTGAAATTTGGTACTTTGAGTTCTTATTGGGTAGCAAATCTACCTACTAAAAATTATAAATATAGGTTCATTTTTTCGGATAGTCCCCATATAAGGGTACCCCCAATTTTCGGTATTTTGGGGTTTTTGAGCTCGTTTCTGAATTCTCTGAAATTTTGTACATTGGGTTGTTATTGGGTACCAAATTACTCCACTAAAAATTATAAATATAGGTCCAGTTTTTCTGGTAGTCCCCATTTAACGGTACCCCCAAATTTTTGGTACTTTGGGGGTTCTGATCGTATTTTTCGACCCAATTGATTGTAATTTAATACGTAAAGTTCCTATGCGGTAGAAAATCTCTCCACTATAAATTATAAATATAGGTCCATTTTTTCGGGTAGCCCCCAAATAAGGATAACCCCAAATTTTCGGTATTTTGGGGTTCTTGAGCGCGTTTTTCAACCAAATTCTTTGTAATTTGGTTTTTTGTAGTCGTATATGAAAACAAACCTCCCTCCCAAAAATTATTAATATTCGCCCCCTTTTAGGGGTAGTCCACATATAACCCCCTTTTTATACCCTTCACCGCACTGTGGTACAGGGTATTGTGTCTTTGTGCATATGTTTGTAACAGGAAAAAATCGAAATAGACCCATGGTTTCTTTTTGAGAATATGCATAGAATCACTTTCTGAGTCGATTTATGATCCGATTTGGATGAAATTTGGCACAGGTCACTTAATAGGCCCAAGTACGAACCCTATTGAAATTGTAGAAAATCGGTTCAGTTTTAGATATAGTTCCCATATATATTTTCGTACGATTTTAACGCATTGATGCACCAAGCTACCAATAGTGATCCGATAGAGACAAAATTTTGCACAGAGTATTGAATTAGGTCTAGATAGTTATATGCCAAGTTTTGTTGAAATCGGCTCAGATTTAGATATAGCTTCGATTTATAGTTTCGTCCGATTTAATGTAAATAGTGCACCAAACTCCCAATAGTGGTCCGACTAAAGCAAAATTTTGCACAGAGTACTGAATTAGGTCCCGACTGATGTATGTGAATTTTTTTTGGAATCGGTTCAGATTTAGACATAGCTGCTATATATAGTTTCGTCCCATTTTATGTAAATGGAGAAACATACTGCCAATATTTATCCGATTGAGACAAAATTTTGCACAGAGTACAGAATTAGGTCCCGAAATTTCTATATCTACAGGATATTGTAGATATAAACATGTCTTGCATGCACCCATAGTGGTGAAGGGTATCATATAGTCGGCCATCTCCGACTTTTGAACTTTCCTTACTGGTTTTTTTTGCATAAATGCATTTGTATAAATGTGTGTCATAAATGACACGGAATGCCAAATTACAGCCAATTTAAGGGAAGAATTCGACGAAAACCTCCAAACCTTAACTTAAATCCATAACGTTCCGCAATGCGAAAATACAGTGACCTTAGTAGGAAAATGTGGTTTAAAACTTCAAGGTATTGAAAATGGGGTGGTAACATTATATCGGAGCTATACCATGACGTGGACCATGAAAATTAAATAGAGCTTCGCTCTATGGGGGCTACACCAAAACATAAACCAATTTATATTTATACCCTTCATCACACTGTGGTACAGGGCAAAAGGAATGTAACAGGCAAAAAGAATGGAGATAGACCCATGGTTCCTTTTGAGAATATGCATATAATCACTTTCATTGTCGATGTATGCATGTCCGTCCATGTATTTTTGTTAACAAAGTACAGGTCGCATTTATGATCCGATTTAGATGAAATTTGGCACAGTTCACTTATTTGGTACAAGGACGTACCCTATTGAAATTGGAGAAAATCGGTTCAGATTTAGATATAGCTCCCATATATAGTTTCGTCCGATTTTATGTAAATGGAACACCAAACTCCCAATATTGGTCCTATTGAGACAACATTTTGCACAGAGTACTGAATTAGGTCTACATTGATACATGCCAAGTTTTAATGAAATCGGTTTAGATTTAGTTATAGATCCCGTATATAGTTTCGTCCGATTTATGTAAATGAGAGAACCATACTGCCAATATTGGTCCGATTGGAATACAATTTTACACAGACTACAAGCTTATGTCCAGATTGATGTATACGGAGTTTTGTTGAAATCGAATCAGATTTACATATAGCTCCCATGTATAGTTTTGTCCGATTTTATGTAAAGGCTGCACCAAACACCCAATATTGGTCCATTGAGACAAATTTTTACACATAGTACTGATATAGGTTTAAATTGTTTTATGGTTTAGATTGTTTATGGGTTGAGTTGTTTTAATTTAGTTCAAATATTTATGTACTTCATGCGGTTATGTTTTTCACGCGAAAGATGCTATGTCTATTCTATCTGAAGGATATTGTACATATAAGCATCTCTTGTGTTAGGGTTATCATATAGTCGGCCACGTCCGACTTTGAACTTTCCTTACTGGTTTTTGATTGGGAGATTCTTACCCAATGAGAATCCAAAATATCTGATTGGAGCAAATTCGGTTGAAATCGTGCCTCTGTCACCTACAAAGTGGCCCAATATTGATAATTTTCTATAGCAAGACTTGCAACTCAATGAGAAGTCAAAATACCAACTGCAATTCGATTGAAAACCAGTAAGGAAAGCCGTAAAGTCAGACTTGGTCGACTATATGATACCCTTCAACACTTTGGGCATATTATTCTTATGTATCCGAAAAGACGTCGCCTCTTTGAAGGAATTTTGACATGAAATTGAACGAACTTTAATATGTGATTTTTATGTCTTTCTGAAACCTATGCTAAATTTCATCTCATTTGGGCAAGTTTAGAGTTGTTTGCACACAGTGGGACAGATTTGGGTAAATCGATTTAAAGCAAACTTGACACACGCTATTCGGTATGCTCCACTGTTTAAAATTTAATCTTAATCAGACACCTATTTATTATTTGGTGTACAATTAACAAAAATAAGTCGAAATTATATATGGAAGCTACGATATATCTATAGCTGAACTGATTTGAAGCAAACTTGCCAGAGATTAATTTATATTAATTTCAATACGTTGTGTCAATCGGCCTAGCTGTGAATCTTTAGTGTACAATTTACTTAAAATCGGGCAAAAAATATATATAAGAGCTATATTTAAATCAGCACCGATTTTCACGAAACTTAGCACACGTCATTCTAGACTTAATTCAATACGCTATGTCAAAATTCAAATGATTTTCAGGGACTTTCATGCATCATTTACCTAAAATCGGGCGAAACTATATATGGGAGCTATATCTAAATCTGAACCGATTTTCGCGAAACTTAGCACACATAATTCCAGACCTGATTCGGTATGCTGTGCCAAAATTAGTGCAAATCGAATGATTTTCAGGGCCTTTCATGCATCATTTACCTAAAATCAGGCGAAACAGTTTATGGGACCTATATCTAAATCTGAACCGATTTTTACGAAACTTAGCACACATGATTTTAGACCTCATTTACCTAAAATCAGGCGAAACTGTTTATGGGACCTATATCAAAATCTGAACCGATTTTTACGAAACTTAGCACACATGATTTTAGACCTAATTCAGTAGGTTATACAAAATTTCGTGCAAATCGAAAGATATACAGGGACTTTGGTACCCCATTTACATTAAATCGGACGAAACTATATATGGGAGTTATATCTAAATCTGAACCGATATGGTTCCTCCTTGGGCCAATTAAGTGGCATGTGCAAAATTTCATCCAAATCGGATCATAAATGCGACCTTTACTTTGTTCACAAACGGACAGACGGACATGCATAAATCAGAAAGTGATTCTATGCATATTCTCAAAAATAACCATGGGTCTATCTCGATTATTTTTGCCTGTTACAAACATATGCACAAAGAC